CGAAGAAAGCTGATGGTGCTCAGTTATCAAAAGACATAGCATCTGGGGTCTTAAAGACTTGAAGATAAACAAGCAGTCATGTAGCTGAGAAGCAACAAAGCCCACATGAAAGAAGCAGACCAGCCTGTGTGATCACAAGGTGTCGAAGGGATCAGGTATCAGGCATCAAAGAACAAAAAATCTATCATTGTGAATGAGGGGGAGTGCGGAGTTGAGACCCAAAGCCCATCTGTAGGCAACTGGACATCCTCTTACAGAAGCATCGCGGGGAGGAGACGAACCAGTGAGAGTGCAGTATAGCATCAATGAAGCACAACTTTGCTCCAGTTCTTTAATGCTTCCTCCCCTGCACTAACATGACCCTAATTCTACCTTACAAATCTGGCTAGACCATAGTATATTCACTGGTACAGCTAAGAGCTGGGAAACACAGGGAATCCAGGACAGATAAACCCCTCAGGACCAATACTGAGAGTAGTGATACCAGCAGGGGAAGGGGAAGGTGGGGGAGAAAGGGGGACTGATCACAATGATCTACATATAACTCCCTCCCTGGGGGGCGGACAACAGAAAAGTGGGTGACGGGAGACATTGGACAGTGTAAGACACGAACAAAATAATAATTTATCAATTATCGGGTTCATGAGGGAGGGAGGAAATAATGAGGAGCTGATACCAAAGGCTCAAGTAGAAAGCACCTGTTTTGAGAATGATGATGGCAACAAGTGTACAAATGTGCTTGACACAATGGATGGATGGATGGATTGTGATAAGAGTTGTACAAGCTCCCAATAAAATGATTTAAAAAGAAGAAAAAAAAGAGTTACAATCTCAGAAACCCACGGGGGCAGTTCTACCCTGCCCTACAGTATTGTTATGAGTCAGAACTTACTTGATGGCAGTGAGTATTTTTGAGTTTTGAGGGAATGCTAAAAGTTAACAACAAACTTGTGGTGGAGGAGGTACAGCTGAAATCCTTATGAGAAGTGAGGATGGCAAAACTTTGGATATATCATCAAGAGAAATCAGTCCCTGGACAAGGCTATTGTGCTGGGTATAGTATTCCAAGCAGGCTGCCATTGAGTTGGTATGGACTCCAGAGACCTCATGGACAGAGTTGAACTGTCTCTTTGAGTTTCTGAGAATTAGTAGGAGCAGATAACCTCAAATGTCTCCCTCGAAGCAGACAGTATGTTCAAACTGCTGACTGAGTTTATATTCAGTTTCCTTGATACATGTGAAAGTTGGACGTTGACCAAAGTAGACCAAAAAAGAATTGATGCATTTGAATCGTGGTACTGGAGAAGAAGGTTGAATGTACCGTGGACTGCCAAAAGGGCAAACCAATCTGTCTGGGAAGAATTGCAGCAAGGGTTCTCCTTAGAAACAAGGATGGCAAGAACTCATCTTACATGCTTTGGACATATTATCAGGAGAGACCATTTCCTGGAGAAGGACATCATGCCTGGTGAAGTGGAGGAGCAGCGAGAGAGAGGAAGGCCTCAACAAGAGGGATGGACACTGTGGCTGCAACAATGGGCTCAGGCAGAGGAACAATTAATGGTGAGGATGAGGCAGGACCATGCAGGGTTTCGTCCTGTTGCTCATAGGGTCACTGTGAGTGGGAACCAAGTCAGGGGCACCTAACAACCACTACAACATAGCAACCCTATAGGACAGAGTAGAAAAAGAACTGCCTCTGGGATTCTGAGGCCATAAATCTTTATGGGAATTAAAAACAAATAATCCTCACCTTTTTCCCACACAGTGGCTCTTGGATTCAACTGCAGTTTGTGATTAGCAGCTAACTGCATCACCTATTCTGGCAGCAGGGTCAGTGAAAAAGACCCTCAATTAGATGGATCCCATGGTTGCTGCAGCTCAAACATAGGACTGACTGTGAGGGTGGTGCAAGGCCAGGCAGCGTTTCATTCTGTGGTAGAGGAGTCAGAACCAATGTGATGGCACACATACATACAACACATATGCATACAGCACACATGCATACAACACACATGCATACAACAACATACCTATTTGTGGCATAGGCTGAATTGGCCATTATCGACAGTTCTTGCTAAGAAGACACTTTAAAATATCTTAGCCACGAGGAGAAAGAATCATGTATTGAGTGTGATCAGAAAGACCAAGACTTACTACAGGTTGAATTAATTTTACCCTTCAAAAACAAGACTGTTCCAGCTCAGAAAATCACAAATTTAGAAGACAATAAATAATGAAACAAGAAGCCTACTATCCACAGACCTTTGGCAACATTTTTGACCTCATTATTTCTAAGCATTTTAATCATTATTTCTAACTGTACTTCCACAGTTTTGAAAATTTTTACTGAATATCACTATACTCAATGATATTTGAAGGAAAAGTATTTATGCAATATACTAAGATATTAATTTCTCACATAAAGAAATTTCAAGCAATGTTGATCGGGAAGACTTTGTGGGGGGGCTCTCAAAAGCTATAAAATATATTCGTGGAAACACACATTAGTTAGGTATCTCCTGCTTTGAAAGATAAATGGAGCTTGGAGATATATGAACAAGTCTGAATTATATTTGCAAGTTAATATTCTTAGATTTCTGTCCGTGATTTTCCTTCTGTCTCCGATTCATTTTTACAAAGAGAGGCAGAAATGGAAGCTGCAGAGAAATGGGTTGGGGAAGACAAAGTCAGAGCTGATAGTTGGTCAGCTGGGGTTCCAAGGTTAGAGCGGACCCCCCAAAGAACTTCAGCTGAAGCGGAAGGAGATGGAGGGATAGCAATGGAGAGGAAGAGAAGGAAGAGGTTGCTAATTGAAATTGTAACTGTGAAATATTCAGAAGAGTGCACACTAGGAGGGCCGGCAGAATGCATTCTGTATTGTATTAACCGCAGGAATATGGTTCTTAGCAGTGACATCTTCCAGTTGTAAAACTCTGAGTGTCCACTTGACTAGCAATCCCTGGTCTGCACGGAAACACAATCCAGGGAGGAACAAATGTACACTGAGTCTTCTGGACTTCTGAACAAGACAGAAACGAGCTTATTTTGTGACTCTTGGGTGTGTCTTGTTGCTTCTATAGTACGTTTTTCTGTGTGCGGAAATTCTCTTCTCTGTGTTATATGTGAGACAAGCCAACTGAGTGAGTGATTATAATTTGAAAAATCTCCCTATGTTAGTATATGTTTGTGTGTATATAGTGTATATATATATACAGGATGTATGTGTATACAGTATACATACAGTATGCATATGTAGGTATAGCACATGCATATATTGTGTGTATATGTAGTATGCACACATGTATGTGTACAACCTCCATCTAAGTCTGTAGGTTGCTGCTGTCATTTTTGTTTGAGTTGGGTTGGTGCTGACTTGTGGAGCTCCAGTGTACAACAGAATGTACTAACTGATCACCCAGCATACACAGTCATTGGTGTCCCTGAGCTGGTTGTCTTAGTCGCTGTGAGGATTGAGTCCTTCCGACTTAGAGAGCTCATCTCCCAGCGTGATCTCAGACCACAGTACATTGTGAGCTGTAGGATTTCCATCAGCTAATTTTCAGTAGTGAGTTGCCAGGCTTTTCTCACTAGTCTGCCTCAGTATTGAAGTTCCAGTGAAACCTGCCCACCATGGGTGACCCTGCTGGTATTAAACCTACTTATGTCCTAGTTTCTCGCTTTATAGCAGCATAGCAGCCACCACATATGGCAGACTGTCAGACAGGAGTGGGTGAGATGACAGATAGTTGATTGATAAAGATGGACATACACATGCATATGTGTCATTGTTAAAATTTGCTACTATTTGATAAGTTACAATGAACAATTGAGATTGCCGTCGATTTGACAAGAAAATGCTCACCCGAACTGCAGAATATGCCTAATGGAGTGATTTCTCCCTGAACCCTACCCCCGCCCCTCCACTGGCTATCAAATTAGCAGAGCGCTTAGCTGTCCTTTGCTTTCCTGTTTGTTGGTACTAAGACCATAGATTTCTTTCGGGAAATTATATAATGAAAAAATACCTGTCGTTTAGAAATATCTCAAAGTAACCCTTTAATCTCCCTTTTAATTTCATCTCAACTGTGTAGCTTTTCATATCGCTAAAAGGGCGAAGGAAACCCGGTGTCTTTCAAAACAGTCACTCTGCGCCAGGCACTGAGGAGTGAGCACAGCGCCCTCTCATCAGACTGCAGTGTGGTTAGAAGAAGGCAGTGTTAGCGATCATACAGTGCTTGGTCCCAGCCCTGCCCTAAACCTGCTGGGTGGTCTAAGTGAACTTGGAGACCTCAAGGAGCTTTGGTTTTTCCCTCAGAAAACAAGAACATTGGGTTAGGTATTCTACAAGGCCCCTAACAGCACCATCATTCTATAACCCTGTGGTTTCAGTCTGAAATCTCACGCCACATGGAGCTTGGAAACCTAGTTAGGAGCCTGGTCAGGTTTTATGTTATATATGGATGGCACGTTATATGTTGACGATAACCTTCCAGTGTTTTACTCTCTACTGGTTAGAGAGAATTAGTATTTTAGTCACATGACATTGTGCTTCTTGCCCAGTAACTACCCAAGTGGATGGGAATCAGGGGAAGGCAAAGGGGACTGTAGTAGCCACATGCCTTTTCTGTTCTCAGGACCGATTTTACACTGGCTACTGCTGTCATTCCTTGGAATCAAGGCTGGTGTTCTCGGGAGTTCACCTCACAGTGGAAGAGGGCTGTTGGTTCACAGCCACCTTCTCCGTTCTGTTTCCCTAGATTTCGGAAGAAGCGAGAGGACAAGGACGGGAAGGCTGAGCAGAAAGGCGCCCTGAAGCAGGAGGAGCTGCAGAAAACGCAGGACGAGCGGGAGAGGTGAGGCGCGCCGCTGAGCCCCTTACTCATGTGCACCCACCGTCTGTGTTTAGTGCGTCTGTGTTTAGTGCGTTGTTGCCACCTTCAGCTGGAGATGGTTCAGAAGCCCAGAGGTCGTGTGATATAAAAGGAGCCTGCCCCTTTCTGAGAATGTCGACTCTGTTTTGAGACAAGATTAAGGGCAGGTTTTTCGCCGGTCAGTATTTAAAGTTGCGTCATGCGCTGCCCCTAATTTCAACCACAGTGCTGTGCGTTGCCCTGTGCTTTTCATGATGAGCTTTGCAGTTTGGGTTTCTAGAGGTCGTTTTTATATTGATATGTAGAATCATCAGATGTCCACAGTCTGTTCCTAATTTTCGATAAGCTGGTGAATGACTCCTTCACTAGATCCTGCTAATTCCATGTGGGTCCTGTGATTTGAGGAGGGCATGTACTTCTTCTTCTTCTTTTTCAAACCAGTCTTTTAGTAGGCTATCGGCAAGCTGAACAGTGCAAGGTACATAGCCCATCTGCTGGAGGGCCGTTTCCATTTACTGAAGTAATGGCCATTTGCGAGAGCTGATGTCTCCTGTTTGAGGAGCTTACTGTTCCATTTGGACGAGAGGTCCTTCACATGTCTTTGATGTGAACTCTGGCACTTATGCCGACGGCACGTGGAAATGGCTGATTTTGAAGCTCGTAATTGAACATTCAGATTTTCCGTGAAAATTCTTCCCCTTCGCAACTAAATGAAGCTTGGGGAAGGATGGAGATTCTGATGAAACTAGCATAAACTTTTAAGTATTCATCCTGTCTTTATCAAAAATGCTATCAAATGTATTCATCTTTCCACTTATTCACCCCCTGATACCTTGCAGTCTGTAAGGAACCAGTCTATTGTTTAGTTCCATACACAAGTATATGTCCTAAGAAAACTGTATAACGTTTATACTCAAGTGTAAGCCAGCCTGAAGATCAGCGGAGGCACCTACTTTTACCACAAAAACTGCATTAAAAATGTGCTAAAAAACAGCTTATACACGAGTATGTTTGGCACTAATTCATTCTATCTGTTAGCACACTGCAGCCCAATAGTATCTCCCACTAACCATTGACCCTCTCTTCAACTGGGCTCTCTAGAGGAGCAAAACCATTGAAGTGTGTAGACAGGCAGGCAGAATGACTGACAGACAGACTTACATACAGATAGAGAATTAGGGGCTTCAAAAGGTCTGTGGGGAAATTCCATTGTCTTTTCATTCCATTTCCCATGAACTCTTGGAAGGCCCCTTGTGTGTATCTATACACATATATGCATACACACATTTTATATATATATTTGCTCCCACAGTTGTGGAGGCTGGCAAATCCCAAATCTGTGAGTCAGACATCAGGCTAGGGGCTTCCCCTGATGAGCACACAATCAGCCGGTCAGACAGCAAGCTGCTGGCTCACATCCCATTACCCAGAGTTGGGATGATGACAAGTAAAGACAGGATTGAAAAACATGACTTCCTAGAAGGACTCTTACCTTACATCAGATCACAAAATGGAGGATAATTATATAATAACGAGCATGGTGGCCTAGTCAATTTGATATGTAGAATGCTACATCATAGACCCTTTCTTAGAGTCCATCCCATTGAGAAGGTTGACATTGTCAACAGTGAGGAAGAGTCTATTTCATCCTTTTTCACCGTTGAGAGGTTGGTACGCTCAGCTCCAGGGTCAGGGGAGAAGGTCAAAGGAAACCCAAGTGTTCTATCTGCATTGTTGCTGACTGGCCATCTGACAGAACTGCCCTCCACATAAGAGAGATGCATTCTCCACCCAAGCTGAAGATTCAGTAATCCTGCAATGCAAAATGTAATTCGGGCTCCGATTTTAATGCATGTATTGGCAAGGACATCTCCGTGGTGAGCCTGCATCGTAGATCTTTGCTGCTGCCCTGACGCTGCATCTCATGCCTCGTCTTCAGGAAATGGAGCTGTTTGCTCCAATGCGGACTTCACATTTCCGCAGCTCAAAATACTTCTTTCTTCGGTATGGAAGGGGGACTGAAGAAAGAAGGGGGGAAAATACCTCTTCAGTACTGGGGAACTGTGTGCCAGCTAGAAAATTGATAACCCATAAAATCAAGTGGATTGTCTTTAAGCAAGGGTTCATTTCCTTTCTGGTTTTGCCTTTAGAAAGTGGTGCCTGAGGGAGTTTGGTTCTTAAAAGCTGGCCTGTAAATTTGCCTCCACTGGCTATATAGGCTTCAGGTCCAATTTTCTTAAAATATGTCTGGTCAAACTACTGAAAGAACTGTGCTATTAGCTTCCACTCAGGCCACTTCGTGCACGTGGACACATGAAACACATCTGATACGGGTTTCCTAGAGAAAACATTGTCTGAATCGTGTGTGAGGCAGGAAGAAGTTGGAGGAGTTGATTTTATGATTGAGTACTCTAGAATTAATGACCAGGGGCATTTCAACAATTTAGGGGCTGAGGGCCATGGAAATTGGAGGTGGAGGCTGAGCATCTGGCTTGGTGCCCAACCCTGGAGTCTCGTTTCTTGGCTTACCATCATCCGAAGGAAACCAATTCACAATGTCCCAAAGAACTCGGCAAGTGTGTCAGTCTTCCTGACGTATCCACAGGAGGGACCCGGGATAAAATAAGAGAGCATATGTAAAAGCTCACGGAATTGTTGTTTTCCTTATTATATTTTTAAAATACTTTCTTAAAATGATTGAAGCCATTCTACTGCTTCTTTGTTCCAACTTAACGGTGATAGCTATCCAATCATTTATCAATAACATAGCTCCTCTGGAAAGGAGTGCGAGCACTGAAATAAAACAAATACCGCACCGTCCTGTAGCCAGCCCTTACCGTTCACAAGAACCAAGAGAGAAACTTTCAAGAAGTTTGTGAGCCAGTTGTGAACCCATTGGAGTCTGAAATGGGCTTTGAGGGGAGTCTTCATAGCACAAAATTTGGCAAATGCATTAAGTAGGATTTTCCCCTCAAAGAGCCAGTTTACCAACACCCCATTATGGACTATACAACTGTTTTTTCATCTTTAGCCTGGAAGAAACTAAATAAAGTAGTAATAGTAATAATAATAATAATCGCTAGGAGTCGTAACCCCCTTGATGGCATCTGACAACAACATCCAATACTGTTCATTACAGTCAAACCATATGAATTCGTACAGAGCCCTGTCTCCAGTTGTGGTCATGGGCCACATGCGTCAGAATAAATCATTTGAGGAGCTTGTTCAAGACTCATGTGCGACTTGCCAAATCAGAACTGTAGGAATCGAAACCCAGAAACCTATCTTTATTTAATAGGCAAGCTCAAGATGACTCTTCTGATTTGGAGAGAGGTGATTTGGCTGAAACATTAGACATTCGATTATACATTTTTTAATGAATGAAAACCATTTTTTTCCTACAGAGGACTGAATCAGCTTGTCTATAAATATGGTCAACTTTCCTCCTGTGCCCTTTCTGAATTATCCTAGCTCTGGTGCTCACTTACATAAAGAAATGGGGGACTCTGCCCCCTTGGGACTCTCCACACATATCCCACAAAAATTACAAAAGCAATGACGACAAGTTCTTGAAAATGTTACAAACATAAAACTGTTTAAATGAGGTCATTAAAATGGTGCGTCATCTTCCCACAACCCATCAGCGCTCCCAGTGTGCTTCCGCCTTTGGTCCTGAACATGGAATGCCCTTGGCAGCGTGGGGCCCCTGCCGTGGTGCGCCTTACTCTTTCCACAGCACTGTATTGTGCACACTGCCTGTAGCAGTAAAGGTTTAAAAATGTCCATTTTGATAACTGCTTAGTATACTGTGAGCTCAATATATCTTACAGTCTGTATCTGTTGTTGAATTTGTCTCCAGTTTTTCCTTTTCCAAAGAATGCTATGTTCAGCAGCTACAGATTACCCCTCATAAATCACAGCATTCCCTTTGAAGGTTCCATGTTCTTGTGTTTTACCCCAGATCAGTGCACCGCACACTCCGGCATGTAAGGTTGCATTGTTCCTCTTCGTCTGCTGCATCATGTTCCTCATGACTTCGATATACCTTTAACATGCATCACGCAACATCGAACTTCTGGTGTGGAACTCTGTTAGTGCTGGGTGTGTTCCTAGCCAGTTAGGAAATATGTGAGAAAGATGGCGTTACTAACTTAGGTTGGAAAATGTTCTAGCACCCTAGCCAGTTATTTATTCTTCATGGGACGAGTTTTGTCTCAGTCCCAGAGGACATTTGGGTATAGCTGGAGATGGTTTTTGTTGTTACAATTGGGGCTGAAGGACCCTCGTGTCAACTACCTGGAGCGCTGGTGGTGGAGTAGGTACCAGCTGCTCCGGGGAGAAAGAAGGGGCTTTCCGCTGCCATCGAGGTTGATGGTCTCCGAAACCCACAGAGGTGATTCTCCTCTGCCTACGGAGTGGCTGTGAGTCAAAATCGCCTGGACAGCAGGGAGAGCAAGAGCCATCGATTGACAGTTGGAAACCACGAGCTGCTCCTAGGGAAGAAGATTCGGCTTTCTGCTCCTGTAAAGCTTTACAACCTCAGAAGCCCAAAAGGACACGTCTATTCCATTTTATACCCTGTTTCCCTGAAAATAAGACAGGGTCATATTAATTTTTACTCCCAAAGATGCGCTAGGTCTTATTTTCAGGGGATATCTTATTTTTCCATGAAGAAGAATACGGTACACATTTATTGTTGAACAACAAAAAAGGAAATTTATTACCTGTATACGGTACGGTAGTAGTTGTCATCACAAACCAGCATAACCAGACAAACTGTGAATCCTACAGTATCAAGAACTTCTTGTTACTACCATTATTTCCATGTACAACTATCTATGGTACATTTACTCATAATCTGTGATACATTTACTCACACTTCCTGTCTGCTCCGGCTGCACTGGGGTCAACAGTGAGCTGTGCGGCAGCGCCCGCCGCTACGGTCCAGAGTCCAAAGTTATGGTAGCTGCGGGGGGCCTTAT